ATATTCACATACAGAAGAAATTAAAATTTTATCTAACATCATTCTAAGCAACAAATTCAGAAAAGATTAAAGATTGAAATGTGGCACCTGAATCTACAACACTCCTAGAAGAAAATATAGTAGATACATTTACCAATCTCTCTTTATCCTTTCACCCCCAATGTGTTAGATATACTAATTACTCTGATTTTATAATTACAAAATATATCCATGTATCAAAATATTACACTGCACACCATAAATAGTTGTCAATATTATCTGTCAATACAAAATTTATTTTATTTTTTATATTACATTCATATAGTTGTTTATTTAGTACTGGGGCTCAAAACAAGAGTTATGCACATGCTAGGCAATCCCTCTATCACTGATTCACCCTCAACATAATACAATTTTTTTTAATCTAAGAAAAAGTTTGAAAGAGAAATAAAAGAGCTATGGTGGTGTACTTGTAATCCCAGTGACTTTAGATTCTGTGGCAGGAGGTTCAAGACCAGCCTCAACAACTTAGCAAGACCCTGTCTCAAAATAAGAATTAAAAAACACTTGGGGGAGGACTGTGGTTGTGGCTCAGTGGTATGGTACAGTGCTCACCTAGCATGTGCAGGGTGCTGGGTTCAATCCTCATTACCAGATAAAAGTAAAATAAACATATTGTGTACAAATACAACTAAAAAACCTAGGTTTTTTTTTAAAGACTGGGGATTTGGCTCACTGATAGAGTAATTCTGGGTTAAATCCTGGTACTGCAAATAATAATAATATATATATATCATTTATCACAAAGAAGGCATATAAATGGCCCAAATAGTAATAAAATGCTAGTTTATTACTATTAGCAAAAATAACAATAATAATACATTCAGAATACATAGGAAGTTCCTAGAACTTAATGGCAGTAACCTAATAACTTATTTGAAAATGGGCAAAGACAGATAGCAGATGATCCATGGCAATCATTAGGCATGTGATCTTGAGAAAAGTACTTCATTTCCCTATTCACAGTTTTCTCTTTGTTAAGATGTAACCAGGGTAATTAAACTAAGTATTACCTATTGTTATAAATTTATTGTGTTATCATCTAGATTAAATCCATTCATATGTGTAAAATACTAAAAAAAAAAGCTAAGTGCTTTTTAAATACTAATTATTCTCCTTTTGATTCTGAAATTCTCAGAAGCCTACATTGTATGTCAGGGACAGCTGAAAATATCACAGACAGAGCCAAATCACCACCCTAAGGTGGTGGATTCAGCCACATGTGGTAGTGCACACCTGTAAATCCATCACTTCTGGAGGCTGAGACAGGAGGATTCCAAGTTAGAAGCCACACTGAGCTACTTTTTGAGACTCTGTCTCAAAATAAAAAGTACTTGGTTGGGAATGTAATTCAATGGTTAAGTGTCCCTGGGTTCAATCCCCAGTACCAAATAAGAATATACACACACACACACACACACACACACACACACACACACACACACCACTAGCTTTGGCTATGTTCTTTTTCTTAAGAGAAAATCTCATGGTTTATATGTAGACCCAGTGTTGAGAAAGGTGTTCTTGTAATCCACTCCTTTTTTATCTTAGTGTTTACTTTTGTTCCTTAAATAAGAATTTATTCCTCGTCTACATTTTTTTTTCATATTTTCCTTTGCTTTTCCCTGACTGGGGATCTCAGAAATAAGTATTGAAGAAATGAACTCATGAATAAATTAGTTTTTTTTCCATAAAATTGGGCAAAGGACCTGATTAGACATTTATCACAAAGAAGGCATATAAATGGCCCAAATAGTAATAAAATGCTATCAATTACTCATCAAGGAAATGAAAAACAAAACTAAAAGTAATATATCATAACCCTTATTTAATCATTACATATTATCTTCACAAATTTTAACCTTATCTTCTACCCAATAAATACAATTGTAATTTGTCAATAAACCAATAAAGAAATCCCATAATGTGACATTATTTCATACTTGTTATGCTAACAAACAAACAAAACTAAAGGTGATGACTGTTGAGAAAATGGTAGATAAATCGTGATCTTTTTATATTATTGGCAGGGATATAAATTGGTACAGCATGTAGGAAAATCAGTATGAAACTGGCAATAAAAAATAAAGTGGGCCAGGCATGGTGGTACACACTTGTAATCCCAGCAGCTCAGGAGAATGAGGTAGGATGATTGCAAGTTGGAGGCCAGCCTCAGAAACTTAGAGAGACCCTAAGCATCTTAATGAGATGTCATCTCAAAATAAAAACTAAAAGGGGCTAGAAATGTGGCTCAGTGGTTAAGTGCCCCTGGTTTCAATCCTTGGTACAAAAAAATAAAATTAAAAGTAGAATTAATGTGTTCCTGCAATCCACCTTCTCAGCAGATGTACAAATGAACTAAAAGAAGTATCCCTATGAGATATTAGAACTCCCTGTTTAAGACAGATTAACAAGAGCCAAAATACCCAAATACCTTATGTACACAGACAGATAGTTAAGGAAGACATGGTATGTCATTTGTTATGTATAGAGAAGGAAATCTAGAGAACCATTATTAGTTGTCTTAAAAGGCACTCCGTTATGCCAGGTTAGTTTGTAATTTCTCTCTCATCTTCTATTTGTGTCTGTGTTGATCATCTAGGTTGGCTTAAGTCAGGTCCAGATGTGCCAGGAGTCAGACGGAGACTTGCACTGGGATCACCACCCACCCAGACTAGGATCCTCTCTCCTCTGGATTCCCTTCTATAGTTTCTGATGTCAAAGGTCCTAACACCTGTTTTGTCTGGTCAGAAGGATATGGTTTCTATTATCACTGTCAGGCCAGTTCATGGGAAAGATAAATGTGCATAACACCAAATAAATGGGAAATAAACCCACTCAGGATAGCTCTCTCAGATTTTGACACCAGAGAGTCTTGTAAAAAGCCTAAATATTCGATGTCTAAATATTTAATATCTATGTTTATTACACATGTAGTTATAAAATATTTGAAATGGTATTGATCATGTTTTTTTTCATCAACATCTACAAAACATAGGCTTTGAGTGTTCTATAATGTAAAATTCTCCACCCATATATAGCTAATTAAAATCCAAGTGATTCTTGAGAGTAAATTTTCATTTCCTTTTTCTCCTCATTGGAATCAATAACATCAGATATTTGAGTCACGTATAAGTTAAACTTGAAATCTCAGTGAGCTTTAAGGAAAACTTTTATTGACACTGTATCCAAGCTATATCCTCTCTTACTTGTCACTCACCCTACTCTTGTCTTTAATATCCCTCTTAAAGTTGCCTGCCACTTCCCATGGCCCATGTGCTGTTTATCTAATCAGCTGTTGAAATTTATGTGAACTGTCCCACTCCACCAGATAGCTGTCCCATCCAAAAGGTGAATACCTGGTATCTGGGCTATCACAGGGGAACACAAAATTCCATTTGCTTTATAATCTAGTTTTAAATAATTCTTTATATTTGGACTTTGAGATTATACCTATTCTTGAAAATATTTCTAAATATTTAAATTAATGTTTATCTTAATTTATCCAGAAGTTAGAACAGGATTCCTTCATACTAACTATCCTGCCCTACAATATGCAGAAAAAAATATTCACATCATTCATGTTAGGAAACAAGATTCTCAGACACATGTAACATAGATAATAGATTGTTAAAAAAGCATTTTTGAGAAATTTTGATTTTTGTCTGTGTGTATTCTATGTTACTATTAATATTCTGCTATAAAAATAAGAATTCAAATGTTATTTTATTATTTTTAGATGGAAATACCAATATTCAGCATTGTAATCTGCTAAAAAGATATAGCATGCTATCAAAAAGGTATAGCAATGATTGGAACTATAATATTCTGGTATCCAAAGCATATATAAAATAGTAAAAAAAATTGATTTGGGGGCATACTTGGAATTGAACACAGGGGCACTCCACCACTGAGCCACATACCCAGACATTGTTATTTTTTATGTAGAGATAAGGTCTTGGTAAGTTGCTTAGCACCTTGCTTTTGCTCAGGCTGGCTTTGAACACACAATCCTCCTGCCTCAGGTTCATGAGTCACGTGGATTTCAGGTATGCATCCCTATACCTGGACAGCTTAACTTTTTTATTTAATATGATCTACCTGTAATTCCGGTAACACATCAGGCTCAGGCATGAGGATCACAAGTTGAAAGGCAGCCTCAACAAATTAGTGAGGCCCTAAGGAACTCAGTGAGATCTTGTCTCTATAAAGAAAATAATTTTAAAAAGGTTTTGGGATGTGGCTCAATGATTAAGCACCTAAATGATCTATAGCTTTTTATAGCAGCTTATACATGTTGCAAGAATATAGATAATTAAATTTCTTATCCTGTGTCATTCTCTGCTACTATTATTATTAAATTATACTAGAGTACAAAGATAGTCATAATTTTACTTTATGGAACTTTTAAGTTTCTTTCAAACTTTATACATTGCCACAGTTTGAACATCAATTATTACAATGTTACTTACATTCTATGAATGGATATGGACATATTGCATAAGTATTTAATTAGTTATGATAGTCACCAAATTATTTGTCAATGTATTAGGATCTCTTCATTTCAATTTGTTTTGAATATTTTTCTTGAGGTATAACTCAAATAAACTGTGCCTACTATGACATACAAATTAACAAATATATAAAACATGTAAAAGTATAATCACAATAATCCTCCAAATATTTTTGGTGAATCTTTCCAGTGCATTCTCCCTGCTCTTCTTGGCTTCTTGAGCTGTCCCCAGGACAGGTCCACATCCTAGTTATGCTAGGGTAGTGGGACAGGTTGCTGAGAAACTAAAGAAAAGGTAAGACATGTATCTATTTAAATATGCTCTTGGGGATGTTCAATATACAAAATACATGCATAAAAGACATATGAGAACTTCATAAATTTCAGTGAATTAACAGAAAATGAAAATATTTACTTATATTAAAAGAAAAAATCCACTACTGAATAACTAAGCATTTGCATCCTTACCCCACAGGGATGTTAAGAACCTCATCATTTGTTTCTTGGTGCTGATTAACACCAAAGGACTCAGTGTGGCATAGCCATTGCCCACCAGCATCTGGACACAACAATGAACTTGATCATTGTTCCATGACATTGCAGAAAAGAGGGAGACAGTGAAGTCCCAAAAGTTTATGACCACAAAGAGACCCATGAGCAGCAGGATGGTCCTTGTGGCCCTCTGTTCTGGGGATGCTTTTGGAGACAGGCTGGTATTGTGAAGGTGCTGGCACTGCCTCTTATGCCTGCACAAGAGGGTCACCATGTACCCACTGGAGAGGGCCATGAGTCTATAAGGAAAACATCCTGGAAGGTCACAAGGGAGAAGTACATATACCTGAACAAGTAATTTGTAGAAAAAAGAGAGCAGGACTTAGTAACAAACATGAGACTGTGTGTGGTGACATTGGGAGTGGCAACAATAGAGATCAAGGAGCGACCACTGATGAGCATATTAAAGACCCACAAGAAGGAAAAGCAGCAGAGGCTCTGAGGTGAGGAGCTACACTTGAACTTTGTCAAGCAGCAGCTTCTGGGGCTGAGGGTGACAGCCTGGAGGACACTCAGCAGGCAGGTGGCACAAAAGGACAGGCCCCTCATCAGCCTGTACAAGTAAATCACTGACTTACATATTATGTCATCCCTTAAACCCTGAGACCCCAAAATGTCTGCAGTTATGAACCCCACAGTCAGCAGCATCACTAGGTGGACAAGAGCTAAGTGACCAATGGTCAAGTCAGTGGGCTTGGGCCTGTGCTTGAGAGGAAATGTGGGGATGTGGGAGAGAAGCAGAGCAGTGTTGGCTATGATCCCAACACTGATTTCACAGAAAAACATGGTGCTCAGGTGAGGAAAGCTGGGAGCTTCACTGTTCCCATTCATCCTCATGAAGAAGCAGGTTTTGGTGAGAATCTGAGAAAAAAGTTTTTACCATGAGTATCGCCATCCTCATCAATCCTTCCTACACTATGGTCATCAGCAAAATGTGTGGGTTCTTCCTCAGGCATTCTTTCTCCCTGAAGAGCCCAAGTCAATCCCACATCCTCCTGAGATTCAGAACTCTCTCTCATCTGCCCTCCAGGACAGACTCACAGTTGGATGGACACACACAAACTGCCAGACCCCACAGCATCTCCACACCACCATGTTACACTTTTCAAATGTAAGCAGAATGCCTCTTCCTCTCTACAAACCTGATAAAGTCCTCAGTTCAAAGTAATAGCTCTAAATATGGGATTGAATTTGAATGACAAAATTGTATCAGCGAAGGGGCTGGGGATGTGGCTCAAGCGGTAACGCACTTGCCTGGCATGCGTACGGCCCGGGTTCGATTCTCAGCACCACATACAAAACAAAGATGTTGTGTACGCCGAATACTAAAAATAAATATGTAACTAAATAAATATTAAAATTCTCTCTCTCTCTCTCTCTCTCTCTCTCTCTCTCTATCTATCTATCTCTCTCTCTCTCTCTAAAAAAAAATTGTATCAGCCTGGAAATAAGATCCTCTTGGGCAATGACTGCAAAGAGGGTAGCCATGCAAGCACTTGTATTATGTTCAGGTCTTCTTTGTTCTGGTTAATGGCTAGAATATGATTTATTGGTAGAACACATATGTGTCTAAGATGCGTCTGAAGTCACAAACTGTGACTTTATGTAAATGATCTGATGCTATTAAATTCAAAACTAGAGAGGTCAACAAACACATCTGGACCATTAATATTATTTGAAAATACGGGTAATCACAAAAATTGCTTCTTGTAGTTATTGTCTGTGTGACTGTATCAAATATCCAATAATGCCCAGGATACTAATACCACCCATTATTGTTATTATCAGATAGTCCTCCTTATATGACTTGAGAGTTTTAAAATATTTCCAGCTCGGTTATAGCTTCAAAAATCAAAGAAAAATTAATATGAAAGTAGTATACTTTTAATAATCCCTAAATGTTGGACACATGCAAATTAAAAAGTCATTTCTTGGAATCATCATAGGTAACTCTAAGTCTTAAATATTTTAGAAACTCAAAACAGAAAAACCTAGTCTTATCAGAATGCAGTTACCAATTATTATCAGAAACACACTGTAGGCTTTTTTTCAGCAGGTCAGAGGCATATGCAATCATAGTGGTAAACACAGACATATTTTAATGGACTGGGATGATTCTTTTCTAAGGATTTGGTTAGTGGTTTCCCATGGGAGTCCAAGCTTTCAAATCTTCCAAGAGCAAGAAACAATGTCTCTGCAGAGTTAAGAAAATCTAGTGTAAATGTTATACTAGTCATTTAGTGAGCTTTGTTCTACTGTGACTAAAAGACCTGCCAAGAACAATTTTAGAGAAGAAGATTATTTGGGGGCTTATGGGGTTTTGAGGGGGTTTTAGAGGTCTCAGTTCACAGATGGGCAGCTCCATTCTTAAAAGCCTGAGATGAGACAGAAGATTATGGTGGAAGACTGTGGCAGAGAGAAGTGGCTCACAAAATGATCAGGAAGCAAAGAGACTCCATTTGCCAGATACAAAATATACACACCCAATCATGAGCCACTTCCTTCAGCCACACCTCACCATCCTCAGTTTACACTCAACTAATCCCATAAAGGTATTCAAAGTGGATGCACTGATTGGATTTAGGCTCTCATAACCCAATTACTTTTTTTCTAAATCTTCTTGCTTTGTATCACACATGAGCTATTGAATGACACCTCAAATCCAAACCACACACTACAGAACTTGGGGGTGCCTACCATGTTGAATAATTTCTGCACCATGCAGCTGTTTGCTTTAACTGAAGCCTTTATTCATTCATAAGATGAGGGAGAGCACATGGGAAAATAAGTTCTTGTCATGTATTAGCACAGATTTGTCTTCTGAAACTAAATATGTGGTCCAAATTGTTTTCACAGCCACACAGAAATGCAGTTCTTCAATTACTGAGGGAAAGCTGCACTGTTCAGGTACTACAGATGTGACTGCAGAGGTGGCTGGACACTAGGTCTCAACAATTTGAAAATTTTGATTTTTAAAATAGATACTTCATAATAACAATTAGAAAAAGTTTGGTTTCTAACATATTAATCAAGTAAATTTATCTATTTACACACTCAGATAATTAAGCTTCATACCTCAGATATACCAAGTAGAGACATCAAAAATACATTATCATCCCATTCTGAGTTTTACAAGTCACAGGCTGTCATGAAGTCATAGACTGTCTTTAATCACACAGCACAAAGTGGTCTTCTTAACCTTTCATTTATTTGAAAAAAATACACACCCATTCTTTACACATCTATTACATTTAAGTTACAAAATATATCCAGATAATATTTCAAAGGTGTGGGATCAATTAATGAGCAAAACCTTTCACATCATATCCTAAAAGAATAATATGAGATAAATCCTGCTGTCAACATGAATTTTCAAGTTATTCTCATGAAATTCAGGCTTCCCTTGAAAACTCTTTTGAAAAATTGAGTCTTAAAACTACATAACCTTATAAACAGGTGAGGTAGTAGCCTGTTTGAAAAATGTGTAATCTGAGGAGATAGGACTACATAATTCTCAGATTTACTAAGGGACGGGAGTCCTACAAACATAAATGGATGAGCACAGACAGATGTACGCAGATGCTGCACAAGCTGTCAGGAGGTAAGGGGTCACTACCTGAAACCAGCAAATCTTCCTTGAGGCAAAAAAAGATGATCTCCTTTCACCATGCCATGAATCCAGGAAAGTGACCCCATCAGGTGCATCCACCAGCCACCCCTGATGTTAGCTTGCATGGAGCCCCCCAAAAGACCACACAAACTATCACCAACCATCAGTTCTCTCCAAATTTATATACCACACCTATATTAGTGAAGCCCATGCTCCAGGTATCATTGTTATATCTGTATGTAATTACTAAAAGAAAGGTAGATAGATATTCTGAACATTGCATTAGACAATCTTTTTCTGGAGAATATCAATATGTTATTACAACAAGCTAAAAGAAATCTGCCCTGTCTTTCCCTATCCATCCTACTCACACTTGGGGAGACTGCAAAGTTCAGGGGGTCAGGGGACAGGACAGATGCTCTCCACACAGAGCAGGATAATATAGAGGTTCTTACAAATGACAATTCCAAAATGGAGCCGACTCAATGATCCAAGTACAAGAATGTTGTCTTGCACATGTGAGAAATCCAGTTGCTTTCAGACAGACTGGAGGAAGATCAATAAGGAGATAAATCACAGGGAAAGTAACATGGAAAAAAATCTCTAAAATAGCTCACAGTTGTAAGCCCACAACAAAAAAGAAAAAGGAAAGGCCATATGAGCAGTGATGTGAAAAAACAATACGTAAATGGAATAAAAAAATTCAGGTTCTCAGGTTGAAGGACCTTGTCATTCATGGTGAAAGTTGGCCAACCCATAGGAGAGAGAACACCGTTCACATTCCTACTAATATCTGAATCCTTAAAGCATTCACTTCAGACATTGTTTTATTTTGCAATTACTAAGACCAGAGGCAATCTTGAGCGCTATGCTGTCATCAAATTGACCAGAGATAAATGAAAAATGTTCATGTTGGTGCTCCTGAGCCAGCACTCAGGAGAAATTGGGAGTACAATGGAAGAAAGAAAGTCCTCAGCGAATCCCCCTGTGAGTGTGGGTATGTATGGTTATGTCAGTGACCTGATGACAGGGTAAGGAAGGGAAGGGAGGAAGGAATTGTATTTTTGTCCCTGACATGAGCATAATCTGCATATTTCTCAAGATGAATGTGAGGCATGATGATTCATGACTGGCCTTTAGCCAGGTGACTTAGGTACCTGAGAGAGCACAGCTTGGCTTGATATCACTACACCACAGTAGCTGACTTCACCATGATTGCCATTAATATTGTTCTTTTTTATAAACAAAGGTAAAAATGGGGGGGAAATTCCAGGAAATGAGAGTGACCATGCAAACTGGAGTGAGTTGGGTCTGTAGGTATGCTGGTCAACACACCCCAACTTTTGGCAGAATTTGAGCTGGAAAAGAACAAAGGGAACCAGGGGAGACTGATGAAACTAGGGGAAAGCAAAATCATCACCAACTCAACAGCTGGTGCTAAGGAAGACAAAGCCACAAGGTACCCACCAAAAAAATCCTCACGATAATTGAGCTTTCCAAAGTCCCCATCACAATTATAACCTATAAGCTTCTCTCCTAGTCAACAAGAGCTTTACAAAGACTGTCAGCAGGATCTCTGTAGAGAGCTTATTGTGGGTCAAAGATTCCTTGGTTGTAAAGGGCAGATTTCTCCTTGTATTAAGTAGGTCTGTAATCAAGCTTCTTATGGTGCAAAGGTTACTATTTTTGTTTTTCTTGGAAAAAAAATTTTGTGAAACATCTTTCTGACCTAAAATATAAGACAAAGAGTTACTTTTTTATTGACATTAACTTTATTTCATTTATGTATTTTTATGTGGTGCTCAGGATCAAAACCAGAACCTCACATGTGCTAGGCAACTGCTCTACCACTGAGCTACAAGTCCAGCCCTTGGAAGTAACAGTTAGGTACCCACCCACTGTCATGTATCCACCCCACAGACTAAAGAAAATTCTAAAGAATTTTCACATCATGGGTCCAGAGATTTTTAGCATTAGCTCCTCTGAACCACCGTAGCTTAACTAAAATTGCTTCCTAAAATTCCTCAGATGTCCAGACTCATCTGTTCTACATCAAGGGCACAGCATTTGTGAAATTCATGAGGTCAGGGAGGATGAACTAGAAAATCTGAGGACTATGTGAAAACAAGAATGGCATCCATTTGCCCCCAAACTCACTCTCCATACATGCACACACAAAAGTAAGATTTATATACTTTGTATTGTAAATTAAAATATTTTTAAAGTATAGTTTAGAGTGCTTGCTTACATGGGTATCTACAGTGTCAATATTTTACACCTAATTTAAGAAAACTATCAAGAATGGGTTATTACTACTGCAAAGGAAAGAAGCACAAAAGACCTAGAGCTGCTTTCTCAACAACATGAACTGTCAACACTCAGAAATACTAAGTGTCCTCTGTGAGAAGGTCTCTCTGATCAACCCAATAATGCAACAAAGACAGCATCATGTTCTCAATAAATGACTTTCCTCTTCCTTTTCCATCATATCCTTTGTGTTTTATTACCAAGAAAATTAGATTTATTCACATTTATCTTAAGTACTTATAAGTACTTATCAGG